ATAGAACCCAGGCAGTAGGAGAGAGGTCCTTAAATGAAGATTTAATGGCACTTGCCGACTACGTCAAACGATGGCGACTTTGTCCCAACACCAGCAAGATTGAAACCTGCCTCATGTAATCGGTATGCGAACGACACTCTGAACATTCTTTTTAACGGCAGGTGGCGTTGGCTTTGGTATATTCTACGGCAGAATACTGTGCAGTGGTATAGCTAAATAGCGCTCACACCAACAAAGTCGACGTTAAGTTAAACCAAACGATGAGAATAATAACTGGAACCATAAAATCAACTCCAGTGAGATGGATCCCTACTCTGAGTAACGTCGCCACGCCGGATATACAACGCTCGACATCACTGGCCCGCGAGTATCGGAAAATCATATCAAACGAGCGCTTTCCAATCCATTAAAAAGTCCCATTCATCACACAAGGACGCCAACGGCTGAAATCTAGACATCTTCCTATCAGAGCAGCCTCCAAAATGACTGATGAAAACAACAGCTTTAACCATGTTCCACTTGGTTAAAGCTGGACTGGACAAGGTAAATGTGCCAAATCCCTACACCGATGGAGCCTCGCGGACAGTCCACAATGCAATTGTGAATCACTGAGACAAACGATCCGCCATATCATTTCAGACTGCCCAAACCGTGCTTGTCTTCACAGAATTTTGTTTAACTTTTTTTACTTATAGTTTTTTTACCGTATTTTAAAGAATCCATACGTTAAATAAGTAAAGAAACCCCCATCAGAAAACGGCCACATAATAAGCGAGAAATATTTATAATTGTTGGGACCGGTAGATGACAACAGGTTTTTAGATTCCTTCGAAAGTTTAGATTTCGAAAAATATGGAATGAGATTTATGAACAGCGACAAAGGTCTTAACAGTCCGTTATTTACTATCGTACGTAATAATTACAGGTAAAAACCTGCTAAAATATTGGGTATAATAACTGGTAGTAATTATCATTAGTCACAACAACAATATAACACAATAAGTTATACGTAGAACTAATTCAATTTATGTAAGGTGATGAACGGTCCAGATGTCTGTAAATATATTGATAGAGCCCTCTCTCCTCATCTCCTGACGGTGCTAACTTTGTAAGCGAAACACGCGTCGAGAGAAAGTATTTTTGTTCTGGTGTGAAAAGTGTTTTGAATAGATTCATTTTATGCTAATTGTTTCAATTCTACCTAGCAAGGTTCAAAAATATTCTAGTGAAAAGAAAAAGATCAAGCTGTGAACTGAAGCACGCAAAAAACACTCGATGACATTGTTACGTATTTCATCCTGCGTGAAATTGCATTCATATTATATATAGAGACATTCACTTTTATGTATCGCTGAGAAGGTTGTATGCGAAATTGTCAGTTATTTTTTTCTTTATGTCTACCTCGGTGCTTTTTATGTATATTTAAACTCTCAAAATATTTCTGTCCTATAGAAAGTANATTCAATGGCCTCTTAGTTTCACCAATATAGGATTTTCCGCACTCACAGGGTATCCGGTAAATGCAATTCTTGGAATCGCAGTCCGCGTTTGGTGGCCTGGTTTTCGTGAGGCTGCTACGGATAGTGTTGCCGGATCTGAAGTAGGTTCTAATGTTGTACTTGGAACCAATTCTTCTTATCCTGCAAATGATGCAAATAATTGTTCACAATCCCATCGTACTACCATATTGTTTTTTTCATTTCGATGAGGTAGATATGTTAAAATGTGTTTAAAACCAACGAGCGACAACTCTCATAAGTCGAAACTGAGGATTGAAGAGGACTTACCCTTCAATTTGCGATTCCTATCACTATTTGAACGATATACAGTTGAAAATCAATCGTCTGGCCAAAGGGCTCGAACCACCGTTCAACGCAGGGTTCGATCGAATGAGAAGAACGAACCACTCACGCTATCCAACCAGCTACCATCCCTCCAAATGTAATGGCAATGAATAAGTAGATTGAGAAATTAAGGAAGGTAAAATAATTCGTTTCCAGTTGGCATGGCATGCCAAGCGCAGTTGGCATCCACCACTACATTTGTCACTGCCACTACCATATGGTCGGTGGGTAGCTACCACAGTTAGCGTTTTTCTGGCAACCATTATTTCCAAAAACTTGTCGAAGACGTGTTTCACAAATCAACACTACGGAGGTAACTATTGAAGGTAGCGATTGAATTGAATGTGAAATAATCGACTGAGCGACTAAGTGCCAGCGTGTGCTCTCCCTTTATACCAAGAGCTAATCTAGTAAGCGAGTATCCAAGCTTGTATCTTGTATACCAGTATGAGCCAACCCCAGCTGTATTATACAAGTACCCTTGGAGATTGATCCAATGTCGACATAAATCCCGTAATATGCTCGTAAGTGTTTCTTTGAAATGTTCAGGAGATACAAAGTTGAATTATATAGTTCACTAGTGACTCACCCCAGCTTCGCAGGTGTCCGTATAGATGTAGCTGAGTAAGTTGTTAGGATAGATGCACATAATTTCATATTCATGATTCGGTTAATTATGTTTCAATAAGGTTTTTTTTTCGGTGAGTTGTTTTTCGTTGAATTGTTTCTGGCAATGACCCCTATATTTGGCATGGCATGGAGAATTGTCGTCACATTTAAACAAATATAAGTGAATCGTAAATATAAACCTTTCTCCGTTAATTGGTGAAAACCGAAGGAGAATCCGATTCGTAGTTTTTGCGTTGAGGAAAAGCTCACTATAACAATTTCAATGTTTAGTGGTAATGACCCCATATAATGTAGTAACTGGAAAGCTATCCAGACGGATACGATGTTAATCCTTATCAAGTAAATGAGTTAGTTTCCTCAATCATTTCATGCACACTTATTACTCTTTACACCATACAATTCAAATTATTATAGCAGAATTAAAATATTGTGAGAGAAAATAAATGTAAGCGTCATGGTAAACCGATACCACACGCGCGATGAAGATAGGTTGTAACTGCATTAGTTTTGTTTTGAAGGTGAAGGTCGCATTTTTGTTTTGTCTTTACGTAGATATGTAATCATTTCAAAATTAAAATTTATGGTAATGAAAATAATTTTGAGTATATTTCATCAAAATTAATAATTATTAGGTACTAGCTGGGAGAGGAAGAAAGGTGTGTTGGCAAAGGAGCCTGGACTTATTTGTTCGGAGTTTCTTGACCGTTCTTGATTGTTGGCAAACCTTCCCCCCGCGAAAGTTCAAATGTTAACTTGAAAATTCTCTGGACAAAGTGTGATGTGATTTTTTTTCCGGGTTTCGATCCATGTTCTGTTTTTTGATCCTTGCTAAGATTATTATTTCTCTCACAACGTTTCGGCAAAGTCTCATTTGCCATCTTCTGGCGATGTTTGGAGTTTAGAACTAGACTGATCTACTGGAACTCTCTTTCCTAATTTATAGGTATGGCTGGTACCATTTACCTAGGTTTCTTCCACTTCTTCGAAGAAACGTGAGTTGGCAGAGGAGCCTCGAACGTTCTTGTTTGTTGCCGAACCTTCTTCCTGTGAAGGTTTAAAATGTGTGCGTGTGTGTGTGTGTCAGCAATCTGATGATCTGGATACCGGTTTTTTCAGTTGTTCGACATTTCGGCTTCAAGAAGTTATGGCTACACTGAGGTCTCAATCTGTCTACTCATCAGGTAGTGACACGCTGTAAGGGTTTTGTGTAACCCAGACTCGACTGACTTTGAACGTGGCTCTTCTGTATATATATGAAGCCTTCATCTGAGAGGAAAATTCGTTAACTAGTAAGAGCTCCACCTCGTAAACAAAGGTCCAAAAGTCTAAAAGGAATATCCCATACACTAACATTCTAACAGAAATCAAGTTAATTCTGATGACTCTATCGAGGAAACATACTTATACAATACAATAAATATTTCGAATTATTTATCTCTCTGGACGTTCCCACACTGGGATCTGGCAAATTCCTGCCGGAAAACTTTCCCGTCTAATACCACGATGGACATTGGCCAGTTCTCACAATGTAGAACTTTTGGGAGAGGTGAATACTTCATAAATCTGGAAACTCTGTCGTTAGACATATCACATGTAAATAATCTCAAGAGGCTTTAGTGTTGTTCATTTTCTTATATGTTCTTTGACTATTTTCACGGAAATATCCACCTTGAATATTTTTTCGCACGGATCTATAATTTATGTGAAGATATTGACTGAGATTGATGACGTTTTCTCATCCTTATTCCATCTCATCTTATGTTAATAAGATCTTAACTATAATAATTTGGGATTCTTTTAGATTGTTCAGTATAATTCTATTGCATTTTTACAGTACTTTTCATCTGCCTCGATGAAAACAATATTTACTTCCACACTTCTAACCATTCTCAAGTAGAAATTTTTAATTTTCAGTTTATATTATCGATTTATCAAGCCATAAGAACTGTCTCAGCGACGTATATTGTAGGATTGCAAATATAAACTCATGCCTAAGAACAGTTACCATACTAAAACTGAAAATACAAGAAAAAAGTGTGGAAAATACTCATAAATCAAAATGTAATAACACACGTACACAACATAATAATATAATGACTTATGCGTCAAACGAGAAGAAATTCTGTTAATGAATGATTCAATGATCATAACAAAATAGAAACACATTTTTTAAGTATATTTCCAGTGCAGCGTTCTCTTATCATTAGGGGTATGTTGGTTTCGAAACACAATAGATGCATAGTGTAACTCTTCCATATTTTCAATCTATGTCTAGTAAGAACGAATTTTGATTTTTGATACTTCGAGTTGTCTATTATTAGAAAAACGAGAAGTGAATATTTTACCTCCAAAGTTATCTAGAGTCACCCGTGTAAATATGTGATTATTAGAAATAGTTTAGAAGAAGTGTCATTGCCCATCATTCATAAAACTTGAATCCGAATGATCATTATAATTATTTTTCATATATAAAATTACAGCTGAAATCTTCTATGAACATTATTTTGAATCTGCTTGTTTTTCCATAGGAATATTTCCAACCAGCCACGATGTCAGCACGTTTCTTCCATGCCCATGGAGAATTTTGTGCATCGCATCCTTGGGAAGTCATAGTAGCCACTATAACCTTGACAGCATGTATGCTGACAGTAGATCAACAACACCCCGCCCCCCCACCAAAACCTGTAATCCGATTCTGCACAGGATGTTTACACGAGGTAAAATTTGAAAATTCATTATTTCTCTTACTTATAAGTAACACTTCATGAGAAAAGGTGATAACATATCCCCTGATCTATGGGATCGCCAAAGGCGCCAAAGGCGGTTCGTTGCAAACCCAAGCTTCGACATCAACAGCGGAACGAGTACCACTGATGAAAACTATGTTTTAGGTTGAACCACGAATGCCGCCCCTAGAGGAAAAGTGATCGGGATGGGTTTAACTGCCCTTTCTCGAACACGGGGGAGTTATAATCAACTTCGATACTAGTGGACTGGATTCCTTGTAGGTTGCTGGCTTTGAATAAATTGACGCTGAATCAGTTCGTTAACTAAATATATTTACAATCCTTAGCAGCTACCATCTCACAAAATCGTAGGACATACAAGTAACATTGGGCGTTGGCAAAATGCTTCTCATAAGATAGTCTGTGTTTAAATTACTTACAAAACGTTTCCTTCTTCAAGACACACTATGCACAATGTACCACTAATATATGCAAATTCACCTTCCTTTACTTATTAACTTGGAAAAAATACAAACGCCGAAATTATTCGAGCGTCGTGGATAAATTGAAAAATGAAGAGACTAAATCTCAGTAGGAGAAAGAAAAGTCAGTTAGGTTTCACTACCTCGGAGGACAATCTCGGAATGCGTTGTACCTCTCTCGGTTCTTTTTGGGAATTTTTAATCGCCACATGTCGACCGATAAGGGAAAGGGGCGATGTTTCTGGAATTCTGGGAATTCGTTGAAGGAACCTAAAGGTTTACAGATGTAGGAGTTGGAAAGCAATAAATGAATTGACAGAGCACGTTCAGGGATGGATTAAGCACAATTTAAGTTGGAACTGAATAACTAATAAAGGATCAGAAGAAGCTTGTTGGAAACTGTGTTTCCAACAAAAAGCATTTATAAATAAAGGCGATGATATCTTACTTTATGAAGACGTCATCTAAGGGATCGACAGATGTCGAATATCAAAGATAAATAAGTGGTCCGTTGCTAAGTCAAGCTTCTACATCGATCTCCAAACGATACTTATCTTCTGTCTTTCACTGAAAGACAACTATTCGAAACCAATACCACCCATCATAGGTCTCATCTGTGGTACTCCGTTGAATAACAAATACGTTGCTGTACTCAACTGTCGTTAAACGAAGAGTGAATAAAGGTGATGACATTCCTTCACAAGGAAGCTATCTAGGATAGATCTATCTCGGGATATGAAATGCTGTAGAGAAAGACAGAACACGGATCTCATTTGGTGGTCGATTTTGAAGCTTGATTTTGCAGCGAACCGCCTTTGAGAGCTTTTTTCATATTTGATATCTCGGATTGACATTTCTGTCGATCCTATTAATAGTGGCTTAATAAATGGAGATGTTATCGCCTTCTCCACAGAGGGCTTATCCTCTATGGACAGTAGTGCTTTCTTAGTTACACCTAGCACTGATGTGATCTACGGAGGATCGAAACAGCGGTGTCTGGTGTTGGATCACTAGTGCTTTGTTTTTAAACTCTGGTATCATCGATTAAAACTTTGTCTAATTTATATTCCAGACAACAATTACGTATCACTAATCGTATTCATTTCTTTTCCGTTTACCTTGAAGGTGCCTTCTGGAACAGAGATGCCTATTTGGTTTGTATCAGAAAAAGACAGTTATAATTTTCATATTGCGACGTATTCAATTCATTTTATCTCACGAATACGTTACTACAGAGAGATATTTATTGCCAAATTGAAAATAGTTTGTAGGCAAGTTTTAGCTGGATCCTTTAAAAACTCATTGATTCATTATAAAGCTTCGTTCAATAGTCAATTTTTGATCGACCTCTTGAATTTATGAAAATGCATACTTTCAAATCATGATGGAAGTTCATTACAAAATTTCCTGCTACTGAAATTGTTATCATTCAGTTGCACTATCAGGTGAATGATGAACTGAAATTGCAATATGCAGAAATCAGTACGTTCGAATTCCATAGTAAATCGAAGGGTTTTTTGAGGAAAAAATACAGAACAGTCTTACAGAAGCACCCCTGAAAATGGTTACATTTTACATAGGATTGAGATTACCATGAAGTCTTTGGGAGAAAACACACAATATGCTTTAGAGAAATTCATGCAAATTACTCATTTCACTACAGTGTTTCATGAGCACCAATATGATTCAATTTCTCTATTGATCTATCGATATCAATGTCAGCTACAATACAAGATGTTTTGGTTTCTTCGTATTGAATATGTATACTATGAGTGATTAAAACAGCGTTTTTTGTTAATTTTTATAGCTATACAGAAAAGTTATTCTCATATTGAGGTTTGTTGTTATTTCTCAACTATTTCCAATTGTTCATTTCATATATTCTTATTGGGAATCAACTACTTGCCATCTAATTTACATTGTCATTATGTGCGACCAATTATATTGATATATCAATCTTGCCACTGAAAAATTGCTTTAAATGCCATCAGATGCCAAACTTTGAGATGAACATTTTATGCAAGTAGTTTCACATCTTCAAACAGTATGGTGTAATCTCCTTCACTAAGTGCGTGTTCCGCTACTGCCGATTTGTCTATTTGACCTAATCTAGAGTTTCTTCGATGTTCATTCAGCTTTGTACGCATGGATCTTTTGGTGGTATCGATATAAACTTTTCCGCAGGTGCATGGTATACAATATACCCTGCAGCTGATAGTGGATCTCTTTTGTCTTTCACAGATCTAAGACTTTGATCGATCTTAAAGCCACTTGAAGATGATTCAATTCCTCTTGTAAATGTTCGGGTTCACATATTCTACGGCACGTTCCGTAAGGGTTTTGATAATTCCCCGCTTTTGACTTAGATGGTGTTTCGAAAGTGCATGCAGATATCTGTCCGTATGTGTCGATTTTCGGTACACTTTATGTGTCAGTCGTGTGAAACGCCTTTCGACGAGTACATCTAGAAAAGCTATTCGTTGTTCCTATTCAGTCTCCATGGTGAACTTGATGCTAGGGTGGTGAGAATTTATGTGGTCTATAAATAGGTTCAGTCTATCCCTCCCATGTCTCCAGATGACGAAGGTGTCATCCACGTATCGTAGCCAAATGGTTGGTTTGAAATCGAAAGCGTCGATTGCCTTCTCTCAAATTGCTTCCCAATTTCGATAGAATTTTTCTTCCATGAATAGATGTTTCGTGAAAAGAACATATTTCTCTTCAGTTTGAGCGATGACATCAACTTTATTTTCATTAGTACACAACTCCTTTATGAATAAGTGACAGTCATACCCGCTACCATATTAAAAATATTTGGAATGAAATCGGACATTTTTTAATTGAGATTATAAATGGAATGAGTAGCATCATTTTTCCCCCGTTAGATGACAGTTGTCACCTACTTCAATATCACCCTCTCCAAATTAATTTCCACATATCTCACATGTGACAATATTGAAATCATGCTCTTCCTTAGCAGTCAAAGAACTAATCGAACCGACACTTTTCAAATAGTTGTAACAGATACAACCTACAAGTTTGAAATGAACACTTTAGCTGCATCAGCATCTCTATATAATTTCAAATATTTATTTCCCAATTTCGATAGAATTTTTCTTCCATGAATAGATGTTTCGTGAAAAGAACATATTTCTCTTCAGTTTGAGCGATGACATCAACTTTATTTTCACTAGTACACAACTCCTTTATGAATAATGAGTAATATTTAGGAATTGAATCATCAGTAGAGCACTCTGTGGGATATATGAAAGCATATGGTTCATGAAGTTGAGTTTTATTTGCTGAAGAGGGTGCAGAATTTGGTTCATTTGTATGTACTGGTTTCAAAATAGATTCAAAATCAGCATAAAACGAATGAAATTTTCAATTGTTTCACAAGATTTTCAAATTTCAAAATATTCTCAGGTACATATTCACCAAATTTGTCAATACTGAAATTTATGTTCGATGTTGTTGTTGAAATGTGATTACGATCATTCAACTGATGTCACAATAGAGCCCGCTCATCACCAAAGTACAATGAACAACCATCACGAAAATATTTTTTTGATGGCGTGCAGATACTTGGGATAATAGTAGTCTCGATAAATACTTTATCCAACAATAATGACTATTGCTAGGTTTATCTGTGACATTCAACAGACTGACGTGACGGTTGAGCCTACATTCTGAATAGTGTAACGGGTCTTCAATTTCATATTCAAGTTTTGTCATTTCGCAAAGTTTTTTTCAACCCATAAACATTCATAGAGCAATCATTCATAACCTCAAATTTAGGAATATCTTTCAACTCAACTGGAAAATCCATACCTGCTACTTTCAATACTACATAGACTCTCGCACTGGCAGGATACAAAGTCACAGCTCATGCAAAGCAGTACTGGTCCTAATTCACAACATTCACCACACTTTTTTGGACTCAATGAACTTGGGAAATTTGATAGAAGAAGATCCACCAAGGGGGCTATACAAATCAACATTCACCTCCAAATACAAAATTTTCCCGATTATCCAACCTGAAAATATAGAGTTTATTGTTTACACTCTTAATTGATGATGTTGTGGATAGATAATATACTTGAATCTCGATATTGAAATTCCATCGCCTGGCCAGTCAAACAGCAAAAGTGTTGTATACCACATCCAAATCATTTGATTGATCAATAACTCAATTGGAACTATTGAATACAACATCACAGTACTCTATCAGTTTGAAGATTGTAACGCCCAAACACCTCCATATTAAATTTCACAATTTTCATAGATCACCAACACTTCTTCGAGTAGTTTCAATACTTTCTGCTTCAATCCAATGAATAATGTGGGGTAATCCATGTGGGGTAATCCATATGGTGGTTTTGACTATCCATTCTGTAACTTACAATTCTCTAATTATTGAAAGCTGTGCTTATGATTTTAACACCCTTTCCATAGTGAACACATATATTCGTTCTATGCTGCAAGTTTCTCTAATGTACATTCATCTGA